TTGAAACTTAACATGCCCTTCGTTGGACAATTGGTTCTTTGTTTTCCAATGAATTTTATAATTCAACARTTATTCGCAGAAGGCTAAGTCAATATTGGGAAATATTTACCAAGATGCAAGTCTTTGAGAGTTTTGTTACGTTTTTTCAAATGTTATTTATCTCTGCAAGCGGCACAAATCAACAAATGAGCGTGCGCACCTGCCCTATATTTACCTGTAGGTGGATATATAGCAGCATAAGAGGTAAATTGTAATTACATCATATATTTAATCATATTCACTTGTGTAAAAATACTAATATTATATAGATGAATATATGAAACTCTTGAAAGGAATAATCTTAATCTCATGAGAATGAAAAAATGTTCAAAAATGGAAAAACACTTAAAGCTTAAAGTAAATTAAACATTCGAAAATGATAAACATTCCTACTGTCTCTCAATTATTCAGTTGTTATCTAATGGTCATTTAAAAACTTTTCCCAGTTTTGTTATATAGTCTAATTAAACACACATCTAATTTTGCAGAAACATCTTTAGTTACCTTCCATGTGGAGAAGCAGGTTGGACGATAGTATTAATTTCATTGAATATTTCAGTAAGCTTGTCGCTTGAGTCTTTTTTAACGAACTGTGGCTCCTCTAGAAGGCTTCCTGTAAGCTGCAAGAGAAAAAAATATTTCTAGTATCCATCGTGAATAAATTTTTGAACAAAAGTAGCATCTTGGGCATAACTTGTTTTCCCATTTCAGTCCATGTGTCATTCTTTGGAAAATAAGACTCTTTGTTTGAGTTGTATCCATATATTCATGTGTCTTCTCATGTGCAACCGGTAAACAAAGAAATGATACTCTAGGGAATAACACATGGTCTGAAATGTAGGGCTTTCGAAAGTTTTGGAGTAAGTGGTCATAAGTCTGAGGCCGTCCACACGTATCYGGAAATTTTTGTATCTGCAAATTTTTTTTCCCGGATACGGGTTGCCCCCACACGTCTGGAAATTTTTGTATCTGTATGCGTAAATTTTGGAAAAYGGTCTCCAGAGTGGAAATTTTYRAATACGCTCTGAATACGGATACGTGTGGATGGTTGTATCCGCAAATTTTCGAACACGCTGACGTAAACACGATTTTGCGCATGCTCAATGAGAAAAAATATCCATCAAAGGGACTAGACACTAGCGTGCATCAGGGCGGATCAAGAAATTTCCCGATACGTGTGGACAGTGAAAACGATTCGAAAACGATTCAAATACACTGCGTGTGGACGCAAACATTTTCATATCCGAAAAAAAAAATTTGCAGATACAAAAATTTCCGGATACGTGTGGACGGGGCCTGAAATAGCTGGCAGTGATCTGATACARGGAAAATGAGGTATTTTATAGAAATGAACAAAGTAGCCAGGGGTTAATATCGTACAATCACTGGAGCTACAGCAGTTGTCAGCTTATTCAAGAAGCTCTGAAATGGGAAAACATCAGTCACACCCAAGGTAAAGAGCTCTATTTTGTGCAAACATTACTCAACTCACAGACTCAAYTCACATGTAGACAATGAAGTTAATTTGATTTTGACTAAATGTACCTTAAGAATACGGCCAGCATAGAGTAGAGAATCATCGGTTCTGTGGTTTATAAGTGTTATCAGCATCTCTAAAAGTTTTTTTTCAAGGATCTGAACTGGTTGTGGGCTGCCTTCAAACTAAAAACAATGTGTGAATATTCTGAGGCAGAAATYACAACACAGCACCATAATGAAAGGAAAGCAAAGGGAAGAGAAGACAATAAAGGGGGGAAAGGAATGGAAGGATAGGATAGGGAAGGGAAGGGAAGGGAGAGAAAAGCTGTACAYGTATGATTTATCTGGCTTTGCAGCAGAAGCTGAATTGTGCTAGATTTATGAATATGTGTCAGGGGACTAGATTGACCACTACTAAGTTACTACTACTACTATACTGCTGCTACTGCTGCTGCTGCTGCTGCTGCTGCTGCTGCTGCTGCTGCTGCTACTAACAACAACAACAGCAACAACAACAACTACAACAATAATAATAATTATTATTATAATAATAACTCTGAATGCAGTTAAACTTACTCTAAATGTACTAAATAGCTCAGCTAGGAACATAGCAAATCCATGGACTCTTGCTACAGTTGTCGGGTTTTTTAGTAAATCTTCTCGCTTATTATGCTCTTCTGAACACCTGATTAAACAATTTGTATATAAATCAATTATTTATYAATTTCCCATCCTCTTAGGTTAAGGATCACAGATTTTTAAAACCCTTTTTCTATTGCATGCGTGAACAAAATAATTCAGTACGAATACTGGTTTCCAAATTGGCTGACTACACTATCTTCAATATTCTATATAGAAAACTGATCAACACACACATGTAGATTGTCTATGGGATGTGAAGGGCCAAAATTAAAGAACCCAAAGAAAATTYCTTTGTTTCTTTACTGTCCTACAATACTAATGGTTTATTATACAACATGTTTCCTTTTTATCCTGACCTTGTGAGGAATATTGTTCTAAATGTCTTGGAGCCATCTTGGATGTCAGTTAGATCTCTTCTTCTTGCAATCAGGTCACAAAGCCTGGCTCCAGTGTAGGTGAAGTTTGTTTGTACAATAGACTGAATGAAAACATAATGATGAGAAATAGTCGAAGAAGCAAGAACTTGATTATGACTTTGATGAAGATCATTAAACTTTAAATTGACATGTTTTGACGTTGCCATACGCCATCCTCAGAAAGTGAAGTATGAGTGTATTTTGCTCTATCTATCTATATGTTGTGTACACTTGTACTTCACTTTCTAAGGATGGCGTTTGACAACGTCAATACATGTCAATAGACCATTTCACAGATCCCGTGGCTCAACCTCAGCCTCGTCAGCATGTAATATATTCTTTAGAAATTGCCTACAACCTTGTAACCTTTTAAGTGTAACCTTGTAACCCTTACAACCTTTTAAGTGTTTCAATTGTTCGTTGATGTGTAAATTGCTTTCATTATCGCGGACTGTACAAAGTCAAATTCTAAAGAATAATTACACGCTGACGAGGCTGAGGTTGAGTAACGGGATCCGTGAAATGGGCTATTRAAAGTTTAATGATCTTCATCAAAGTCATAATGATGAGAAACAATTATATGATTATCAATTAATATTAACATAATTATTAATTATTATTATTATTTTGTTATCTCACTATTACAATAGACTGAATGAAAACATAACAATGAGAAACAAGTATAATATAAAGATGACCCAAGACGTTGATTACAGCTGTAACACCTGAGAGGTGTCTTAACCAATAAAACAATTATTATCTTTTAGTAAAAATATGCAGGTGATTATAGAAAATCTCGCACACTGATTGGTCAAGAAACTTGCACTATCACACAATAATCACCTCGAGCGATAATCCAAAATGGCGGCCAGCCGCTTTGTTGCTGTTACCGGGAAAAAAAAGCCTTTTATCTTCTTTTTTTTKAAAGAATCACCTGTGTATTTATACTAAAACAATTGTTAAATAACATATCCCCATTTTTGAATAATCCTTTRTTTAGAACGAAATATGGATACCCAAGGGACCAGGAACTGTCTGTGTTAGATGCAATTCACTGCAWCAACTACACATGCCATTAGTGGGGTCAGGAGAGAGGAGGCAATTAGAGTGCATAGTCTTGTGACTTCCTAGGATGGGAAAGTTAGAGTCATTACAGTAGGTTGTAGAGGGAATTCTRTAGAAGAAAAAGGATGACAAGGTACTTGTAACACTTGAAGTTTCATTAACATGGCTATCAAAAATACCAAGAATAACTTCAAATATGACCAATAACTCTAAAAAACTTCTGAGATGATCAAAGTCAGGGCACAGCACATATCAAATTGCCCTAATGACGTCAAAGCTTGTTTACATGGGGGACAGAATCACCGACAACAATAGGAATTTCGACAAAATCTTCTTTCTCTCTGAAAGTTTGGCTTCAAATTGTCCAGTTTCCRTATATGTGTTATGTGCCAAGGTTCATCCTTCGATATTAATAGTATTATGTTGTTATTCCTCCCTWCTCTGTTTTGTAAATGCTATTTATTGTGTTTTTTTTCTTTGTATTTTTGTCATTGTCTGRCRACCATAATCCTTAGCGTTAAAACAATAGAMWGTTTTGATGTGACGTCATCATGAAATAGGACAAATTGAAATTTAGAATTTTAGGTTTTTGAGAGGGAGGAAAACCTTAGAACTMGAATAAAACTAAAAACCTTCAAATCCAGGGCTCAGAGGCCTAAAAAGTCTATCACATATGACAAGTCTAGAAATTAAGCATGAGACTCCTGAGGTGTGAAGAGTTGAGTGCACTATTGCAATGCCACCCTTGCATCTGCCCTGCTTGACTCACCTGCTCAACAATGACTCTAGCAACTTCATTCAAAGTACTAACGTCATGTATTCTAGCCTTCCAGGCCAATGCTAGATCATCAACAACAAGGTCAAATTCCCCAGGACTGTACGTCAGTCTGTCCAAAGATTCTTTGACATAATCCACTACTTGCTGGTCTGGCAGCTGGACAGAAGGCTCTTGGGGTTTGGTTGGAACAATGAACCTTGGTACGAATTCTTTCGCGTTCACATTAAGTGATGTTGCTGTTACAGGTTTTAAATTACCAGTAGCATCTGAAATGATTGAAATTACACAAGTATTATGACCTTAATCTACTTATTACTTCTAAACTTAACATCATTTTACAGTGCATGCGAATTGAAAAACTGTGGGCACCTAGAAATATTTCAAAACATCTTGARACTCAATGGAACTTTACTGGATCATGTGAATATTCTACACAAAATCGAGGCTAACCCTGTGTAAAAGAGTCTGTAATCAAGAAACACAGCGGCRGAACTCAAAAATTGTCTATTTCCAGGCGGGGAGGGGATGGGGGTGGYAGGGATGGATAATTTCTGGAACAACACATACATTTTCTTTCATTTTCTTCCATTTGCAACTACTAAGTTATGTCATCTCACGATCTTTATTTTCACYGTGCCATTAATTAACCAAGGTTTTCTAAAAGTTGTACGAGGAAAATTACTACAAATTTGTATTAAAAGTAAATCATAGAAAAAAGTTTCCATTTGAAATGAGAAAAAGAAAAGAAAAAATGATAATGAGTGCTAGTAACGGCATATTTTTTAATCTAAAGTGAACCCMAAAAGATGGGGGGTTTTATACTTCCTACTATTTAAAAACGAACAAAAAACGACACATTGGCATTCGCACAAAAAAAAATTACTTCATTAAGAAAAACAGTTAAAGTACATCTCAGTTCATAACTACAGCAACTGAAAACCAAAGAATCGAAATTTTTTGAGACTTAAAAGGATGAAAAAGAAAAAAAAGTTGTTATAATGGAATTATTATAATGGCAATGTAAGCTTACTATCGAAAGTTCACAGTTTTTCCCTTTAGAAAACCATTCTTTTTTAAACGATAAAAGGGAAGATAACTTTTCTTTTCTTATCTGTATATGACATTAGAAAAGAGTTAATTAAAAGCCTAAAACAAGCCGTTTTTGTATTGTAAAAAGAGTACGTTACTTGAGTTCAACGGGACGCCATCTTGTGGTAAGTTTTGGGGAGGCTGACGAGACTGACCAGGTCTTCTTAACGGTTCTTTGTATTCTTTAGATGCAACTCCTCGTCCAGAATGATTATTCGACATTTTAGAYGGTTCACTTTGGTTATACACTCATTTTAAGGTCCAAAGAATTGTGGAAAAGAGGGTCACTTTGACAATAAAACAACCGAAAAAAATGACCCACGATGTTTCTGATGTTTTARGCCTCAGGCTCAGCTCTACCACAGGCAACCCATGAGCTTGAACACCGCTAGTAGCAGGTGATGTTATTGTTCTGCATCTAACCACGGGTAGCCCAAGCTTTATCATATGTTGTTTTCTTGKTAATAGTACTTCCAGTAACAGATTAACGTGGACGTATAATTCTAATACGTCAGATTTGAATTTTAAGCTGCTCTCAATACATGCGTTATACATTTACGTTAATCTGCTATCAAGTTACTGGTAGTACGATTACCGAAAAAACAACACAGGAAACCCAGAGTACTTTGTCAATCTGTTTGTTTATGTACAGCTGGGCTTCCTGTGGTGTAAGTGCATAGATGCAAATAATGGTAATTCACAACATTGCCATTGTTCAGAAAAGGTTGCARAATAATAATTACTATAGACCAAATTCAAAACTCGCACCGATGTGAGGCTTAAGTTGTGAACAAAGGAATCTGGCCTGATTCGTGACTTTTGAATCACGCCAGATTACTTTGAGTCATGCCAGATCCCATTGTTCACAACTTAAGCCTCACATCGGTGCGAGTTTTGAATTTGGTCTATTAAATTATATCAATGAATGTACAATATTTATTATTAATTCAATAATTTTTATTGTTGGATTTTCTCAATTTGCATCTTAAATAATTACTTTCTTCCCCAAGCTTTGTCCCGTCTTTGGACCCTATTGKGGCATGCATTTAACTTACTGTCTATGCTAATATTTATTATTCAGGGACTATTAATCAGGGACAATGTAACAATGATGTGCTAGAATGATTTTTGTGCTCAACACTTATAACATTTTTAGAAACTAGGCGATAGGATAGCRAGTCTATCAATCCAGTAGACCAGCAGAGTAATCTACTTGTAATAGCCCATATACACTGTGATTTAATAGGTTATTCATTCGTTGATTTATTTAAATAAAATTATTAAAAAAAGCCAGAGTAAACAAATTTAAACCCTCAAACCAACTGTAGATTTCCCAAGAAAGAATAGTTATCATTAGAAAACAAACAAAAAAAAACCAACTGTAGATTTCCCAAGAAAGAATAGTTATCATTAGAAAACAAACAAAAAAAAAAAGTAATCCAAAAACACTTTCAGATTATGGACTAGTGAGTCCTAATTTTTTATTATCACTAAGCCTGAAAAAAAAATTTACTAATCCCAGACTAGTGGACTAGCATTAATGTTGAGTCTGCACAGTTTTTTTAGTATGCCTGTGTAGATTGGCTCCCCCCTCCCCCCTCCCCTAGGGCTGAGCTATRCAGGCTATTTTTAGTTATCCTGGGCAGTGCTATGCAGGTTAAATGCCATAATGATTTATTTCCATTGTATCTGAATAACAAGCCTAAGATAAAGACCAGTCATCGGAACATGAATTGGGACTTGTCTGGTCAAATATTTGTCTTGTCGGTTATTTTGACAGTAACAGTTACAGGGAGCCCAATTTAGACAAAAGTTAAGAGTATATATACATATCAGCGACATTAGATACCATAGGAAAAATATATAGGAAAACAAAGGCTCGAACGAAAAAAATTTTCTAGTGCATTTTTTATYTATTTTTTCTTACTTTTTCGTATTACCAAGKACATTATCTTGAAYTCAAATTTAGAAAATAATCAATTATTTAATATTTCTGATTTATTTTCACCATTTACTTTTATCTAAATTGGGCTCCCTGTGGTATGCCTGAGCTAAAATTAATTTGATTGGTCATCATGACTGGTGACTGACCAGTCATTACTTATAGCCCTGTAATRAATTATTATCCAATCACACACAGTTATAGCTGTGCTAAGATATGATAAAGCTACATCATGACTCCATTTTTATAGTATTTTTCATTTGTACAAAAACTGCTTCATTTCRCCATGCATAACTGCAGAGCAAAGAGGCTTAGTATCATTGTCATCCCTCTCACTGTGGCTTTAGAAATGTGTTATCATTATAGCCAACTTTAATCAGTCTAGGACCATAATAATCTATGACATACTCTGATTCATCTGCAGGACCAACGACCTGTACAATAACCAAACATACAACAAATATTAGTCAAACCTTGATATTATTAGAATGTAAAACATCAATATAGCCCWGTGAAATGTGGATAAAACAATAGACCCTTGCAGCACATCGGAATACAGCTYAATTTGGAGGACTCAACAATAGGTTTCCAATTTTTATGACGAGATTGAAATTTATTCTTTTGTTTCGCTTCCAAATTGAGCTGTTTTGACGTCACATGCWAGGGGTCTATAAGTAAGTTGCAACGACAAAAATAGGATTATACTAACAACTTCTTCCACTTTTTGAAATTCTAAGATAAATCATTATTTTGGGATTCCAACCCCCTCCAGGAATGGCAGAAAGGGAGCGGTAGATGAGGTTTAGCCTTCCCACTTTGTATTACTAAATTTCCAATAAAAGTCTCAGCCCCCCAACTTTTAGTTTTATGTGTAATATATATTTTCTCATTCAAGGAACATGACTTTGTAGGGTGCTCTGCATTCTGTTAAGAGTCAATTCAAAATCAAGTAAAGTCCCTGGCCCTACCTGTGTTGCTATCAAAAGGATATCTATCAATTGGAATAAGAAGAAAAATCCTAGGGTACAAAATTTTAATAAACCTGCAAGAACATAAGAAATCAGTTAGAATAAATTAAAATGAGCAACATTACTTGAAATTAAATAAATTTATTTAGTGTAAGTTCTTTTATTTTTTYACTTTATTTTCCATATTGTACTCAATATTGGTCAATGTAATTGCTCATTCGCAATATAATAATYATGGATAATTCGTGATTAATTAAATAATTTGATATCAAGCTCCAATTCTCAGGAGATTTAATTATCTTGTTTTGTCCACCAGATCAAGCTGCTTTGACGTCACATGCAAAGGGTCTATTGGCCAACAAAATGAAAACTTTTGTCCACACACACACACACACRCATTGATCACTTTCTAAGATCTTACCAATTGCTGGATATCCAAGGTAGAATCTATCAATACCAAACATGCCAAAAAATATGGACAGAAGTAATGCAGTTTTATAAGAATAACCATTCCTAAAAAAGAAAGATTCAACACCSAACGTAAATGTCATGGACCAAATTTATATTTTTTATGTAATCACTCCGCACCAGCTGAGTGATGAATTTTGATTCAGCAAATCACAGCGCATTTAGATATTTTGCTGCCAGCCCTCATTTCCAGACTACTGTAATTAAACTTTTGCGTATTTTTTGTTTTCTTTTGACAAAAATATAATATAYGTGCCTACAAGAAACAGAAATATGGAAAGGAAGAATAAAAACAATTTCACTTTAGTGCCACATTTGCTTCATCCTTTCAAGCTCCAAAAATGCTTAGGACCGGTCATTTTGTCCACTTATGCTTTGCGCGCTGCSTTTACYGCTCAGCAGGCACTTTATATGAAAAATACCAGGACTAGCAGGAAAGTTTTTCTGAAATTTCAGACATTTTCCTCTTCTACTGAAGTACRTAACTGGGGGAGGAATAAGGCATTTTGGGAATCAAAGCTGGCATTCCAGTATGGGATATTGGGTTCGATTCATGGACTGATCAATATCACAAGTGAGTAGATTTAGGTAGGTCTCTCCGTTGCTTCAAGAGTTTTGTGTGGGTTCTCCAATTTTATTCCCTTCAYGAAACCTAACATGGCCCTGACTTTAATTGGCCAAGAGGAATTTAATTGTTTCAGGGTATTATTATAAAATTTCAAAATTGAAAATTACAAAAGAAGTCACTTCAAATGGACTAAACCCAAATTAGTATGTCATGAAGCACAAAACTGATTCAATTCAGTGTGATCTATCAACTGTTCACTTTGGCTCTTATTGACTAGGACAACATAATAGAGAAATGCATACTGTACCGTACTGTAAAAAATTAAAACAGTAACAACGAAACTAATGAGATGGCTGAACTACTTACGTATATCTACAAGGTACATCCCTCTTGAATTCAGAGACAAGTTTTCCATTTGATTCACATTTTAATCCACCACTCACATGGCATTCAACTATAAGGAGAAAAAAGAGCTGTGAAATACAGAAGTGACCCATGCTTGCATGTGCTCTACCCAGGAGCTAAAGGAGCCAATAGTTACTGTTGCACTTGATACAGGGWGCAATTCATAAAATATTTTGGCTATCATTAGAATATGGCAAGATATCTCTAATATTTTARGAGGGGGACATATGGTGAGTCAGGATACTGCAAAACCACAAGAAAAAATACAAAAAACACAATATGATGACTAATAATACCAAGTACTGTATGAAAAGCCTTCAATTAGAAAAGCTTGATCAATGATGGTCTCTTGAGTGTGCAAGAAATTAAATTCTATAATAACTGCAAATCTTGGGAAAATGCAATATCACAGGGTAAAATAAAAATATACTGGCAAAACTGCATCAAAAATAAGCGAATACTGCATCACCACAAATCTTTACACCCCCTAGCTTAGAGTGTGATGGAATATTGCATCAAAGAGGTATACCTCCCAGGTATACTGCCCAGGAAGTAKGGGTTGTTGTCATTGACATACAGTAGGAATATAATCACAACACACTATATGTGCTTCATGGCATAATTKACTGCAATTTTCTATTTTCTATGAACTCAGACATTTCAACAGCTTGATATGTGAAATTGCTTTTTCACTGCCGTTAGTCAGGAATATAAGGTACCAACTGATTATTTTTGATTGCAGCAAAAAAAAAACCMAAAAAAAMMCAAATTTCAGCATSCAGCTCATAACTACCAATTTCACAGAATATTTGAATGATACATGTTCTATAATGTAATACCTATTGATTTAATAGTCATATTGTGTATCTTATAAACAATAGACCATTAATTGTGTTCAAGAGAAAAATAAAAACAAATCCTGAGTACAAGATACGTTTACATGCATGCATACAGTACATATCATAATATAATAGTATCCTGTGCAGTAGCCAGAGTAAACACACCTAGTTAAATTATATTAAAAAAATTGTCTTACACTATGAAATCAAGAAGCATTGAGGCCGTAAAAATTGTCTTTTATGTATTCTTTGATGAGCAGATAGAAGCTGAATMAAATTATGAGTTTATTTATTATATAAGCTTAAAGCTTACTAAAAAAACTGACATAGACTATTACCTTTAACAGTGTGATTTTCGTTGCATCCTGCAGCAGACTGGGTCTTTGAGTCGATAACTGGCTTATCACATTGGTATATRAGCACAGTCAAGGGCTAAATATATACAGTTTTCATTACAAGTAAAAAAACAACAATAAAAACACGATATACTGTAAAACCTACAGAACACTGACAACAAACAACAAGGATACTGTCCATCGAGCAAATCGTCGCATTTCACTGCATCTTYATYATCGCTCACACCAAGATAACACARTGTGAAGAACAATAATATCAATATCGAAAAAGAGTGCCAAGAGACCATTTTAGATCCATAACAAGCTAAAAAGCAATTATAAAGTCTACTTCCTTCAAAACGCAGTCGTCCGCCATCTTGGAAAAAATTTGATGGAGATGAACCTCGACCTGGTGTTAAAAGCACAAAAATCCCAAAAAAGATTTTTAAACTACGGGTGTTTTTATTTTTCTCATTTAAAAAAAAAGGTTATTTCAAACAAATTTTTTAAACAATTTTTAAAATATTAACTAGTAATTTCATAAAGAACGGTAATTTGAGCGTAAAAGTGGCGACGGAATATTTTGGCGTCAAATTTATAACTTGGGCTTCCTGTGTTTCTTAATCTTCGCGCGTTTTACGAAATMTTCGAATTCAATGGAAAGTGCAGAGTTAAATTATTGTGAAAACAAAGTAAAGATGCCGAATATGATGATTCTATTCACCATCTAACGATATCTGGTTAGATGATTTAACAGCGTTGGTGATGATTTGTGAAGAAGAAGTAAAAAGATGGCTAAATATTTTCCAGAAATCTTCTGAGGAAAGTGAATCCAGCGAAAGAGATCGGAGAGCGTTAGACAGCTTGGATGATCTAGTATCATTCTTGAATCAACTGAAAGAATTCATCGAAAAAAAGGTATTATTAAYTAATATTTTTATTATCACCTTTAGTAGACTGACTCTTTGATATAGTCTAAAGGTTCATTTTAAGTCTTTAATACTATACAAAGACYCTTTGCACAAAATCCCTCCCTACCATGTTACGTCATAGACGCCTTGTTGGTCGACAGTAACAAAGCATTTCTCATTACAGCCATTCAAAATCACATGCGCCCTCTAGCGATTGTTTCTGTCCCGACGAAGAAGGTTTTGGTGGACGTCAATCACAAGGCGTTTCCAGGGACAGCGGAGCAGTTTTTTGATTGGGGGGGCTCAATAGTGACATTGTATGGTAAGGTGGGGGGGCTGAGCCTAGAGAATGTCATGGAAACGCCTTGATTGATGTCCACCAAAAGCTACTTCGTTGTGAAAGCAACAATCCCTAGAGTGGTGCGTGTGATTGAGAATGGCTGTAAACATCAAATAAGATTTCGATCCTCAAGAAAAAGGGAATTCTTTTGTTTTGACCCCAAGATTGTAAATTAGTGCAAAGCATCTGTAGTTCTAGATTGTCAATCTTGAGTTCCTTCCCCTCCCCTTATCGTAARAGTTCCTCCTCTTTCCTCTCCTCCWGTGCATGCATTGTTGYTCATAGCAACAGTGATTCATTCACTAATRCAGCACAGTTCTCAACCAATCAAAGCAAGCATACTATSTAAGCTAATATGATAAATATATATATGATGTTTCACAGGGACACCCTAGAGCCGTTCTCCATGAGATACCAAGTGTTGGGAAACTTCTTGGAATGTTGGCCCAAAATTATATTATGCAATGCTCAGGTAAACATGGGTTGTTGTAAATCAATACTACCAAAACACTGTAGAATGAGAATTAGACTGTCACACTTAATGCACAGTGCTTAAAATAGCAKCTGGACATCAGACAATGTTGGGCCAGAACAGGGACTTGTCCAGTAAAATCTTTGCCTTGCCGGTCATTTTGACCAGTAATGTTTAGTCAGAAATAAGTTCTAACTAAGCTAAAACTAATTTGGGCTGTGATCATGACTTGCGACTGATTGAACCTTATTTTAACCCTGTATTCAGGGTTTTTATAAATTTGAAATAATAGGAGAAAATCGTGAACTAGGTGGAGAGTCCTGGCAGGATTTTCATTATGTTTTGAAAAAATAGAAGGTCATAGTAATGATAAAAAGTTTAATTATACACCATGAAAAGATGTAAACTTACTCTGACATTTCGGTGGCTAGTCCTTCGTCGGAGTAAAAGACCATAGTAGTTTAAGCTAGGAACTTTTGCTTAGTTACAGGAGATTTCTCAGATCTCTGACCTTTAATGAAAACACTGTGTATGGGTTGGACTTTACATCCTTTGGAAACTAAAATACCCTGCTTTATAAGGGTGAGATATGGAAATTTTCCAAAAGTTACACATTGATATTTTGGTTATTTCTCTAGAGGAAGCAGTAAAAATCGTTTTCCACTGTATTATGTCCCTGGCTTCTGCCGGAAATGCAGCTGACAGTGCTACACGTAAGACCATTTCCTGGGCACAGGTTTGTAAAGATTGAATATCTGATTAAATATCTTATGTACACCAATAAATTTCAAGCCCAAGGGGAGGGGGGTGGGGCAGACTGCCCTAAGAAATTTGACAATGAGCCATTACAAGGTACATCATACAATATATAATTTCTCAAACAATACAAAATTGTTGCCTCTTTATTCTTTTGTYTKTTGATCTTCCTAAACTGTAACCCTRCAAAAATTWAATTWAATTAGCCAGGTAATTATTWTACAATCTTTCAGTCCCAGATTAGGCAYATGGTGAGCCCAAGTCCAATGTGTCCATCTTCTGTTCTTTTAATCGGYCAGTATATTGGAAATACGGCAACAGAAACAACTCAAATAATGATTGAGAAGGCAAGTAAAAATAACAGTGATTTTTGGGCATRAGTTAATTAAATCAATCAATYAACTTTATTTATAGAGGTTGACATGATAARTGCTGAGTTTTAACTGATAAACTAGTGGCCATCTCTGAATGAGACAAGACTATGGTATATAACCTGAGACACAGCAAAGGTCCTACCATTTTGCAGATATTTAGACATTTATTTWATATTTGAACCAGGGGATTAGTGAGGTCTTGACTATGGGAGGGGGAGGGGGGGGGSAATTTACCATTTTCCTGRCAAATCCACAGGAATCCCACTTGAATTAATTCAATTTTGGTGCTATGCTAGTGATCTGAACCAACTGGGAGGTGGGTCAAGCAAACAAATWAATTTTCCATTTTCTCTTCAAAACATCAACGTTTCCAAACTTTTTTTATTCTATGTAATTAAAACAGGTTGTTGACTCGATTTGTTATGATTTGATGAAACATGATGGAACGAAATGGAGCACTCCAGCCAAGTGAGTATAAAAATATGTAAATAAATATTGAAGCTAGCCAAGGTATAATATGGATATAAATTATAATAGATTCTTCCTGATAAATTTTATTTTTTAGTATTTATACTTATCAACAACATAAAAGGAGACTCTGCTCACAGGGTTAGGGGAATTATAAAGGGAAATAAAGGCACATGCAAAAAATGTTCTAGTGCATATTTTTTTTGATTTTTTACTCTTTTCTATTACAGAGGACATTTTCTTGATCTCAAATTATGAAAAAAAAAAATTATCCAATTTGTCCGATTTTTTTTCAACTTTGACTTTTATCTAAATTGGGCTTCCTGTGTTTGCCCGTCGTATGTTGTTCTACCAAGTGCGCCTTCCGTGACAGTCACGCTAAAATTAGATGATGCGTGACAAGAGAAAAAAAACATGGCGGCCGTTTCGGGTAAAGGTGAACGACAAGAGAAATCAAGTTTAAGTGAAAAACATGCTTTTCCTGAAGTCGTGCTCTTGAAAGTATTCAGTAACTTATCTATACATGATTTGGGAAAATCTTCCTTGGTTTGTAAGCAGTGGAATACTGTGGTTCGATCGGATGTAGTATGGAAGAGGTTTGTTCCAAAATGGCCATGGTTTGAACCGCCACCCGGAGCACAAGGTGCCTATCAGATAGTTAAGAAACTATGGAAGAAAAAATGCGTGAGAAYAGGAAACGAAAGATGGCTTCCTAACCCAATGATGCAGCTCGTTAAGTACGAGAAAAGGCTGAGGAAAGCGGAGTATCATAATTAYTTTACTCGTTGTTCTTCAATGACGTTGATAGCGAGGCTGAATCCATGTTACGAGTTCACGACCAAAGGAAAAGATTCAGAAGACGAAACGATGAATRAAGTTTGTGRGGAAATATGGAAGTCTTTTGGAGGSAAAGASSAGCATCCATTAGWAGTTCATTCCCATCACGATATCATGACACGAGCCACACTTCTATCTCGTAAAGAAGCTATGGCAAAAGTATTGGACACTTTAGAACCAAGGTGGTTTCTGGAAGCTTTGAGGCTTGAGCCCTATACTTTAGACGAAGATGGAGAAATTGTTAGTGTCGGAGGGGCGAAACGAGAGGAGGAAGATGTACCAGTAGAGGAAGAAGACGACATAGGAGAAAAACTAGGAGTTTCAGRCGACGAAAGCATTTTTGGATCGTATGGAGACAAAACAGCCTGGAAAGCAAGAATCAACAAGAGATTACCTATTGCGCTTTATCGAAAGATTAAAGCTTTTTTCGCTGATGGAAGCGATGGGTTCATTGAATATTACCTTAGTGATGGTTGTTTCAATGAGAATTTCGAGTATGCATACTCCTTGCTGATTAGCGATACTGCAGTTTTCCATATTAAACAGTTTTATGAGCTTTAGTTAATTGAACATTAATTAATAATTCTTATAGTAATAAATGCTATCCAAATAAATGATCATAATCATTATTTGGCGCAAGTTTTATTAAGGYGTAAAGTTGAATCAAATTTGCCATTGATAGTTTAGACAACCGCATTCAAAGTGAATCGAATTTGTATACCAGATACGCTAAGAAAAAACGTAGAGACACTGCGAATATAATGCTAAGATAAATGAACATTTRATGAAAAAATTGTACTAATGTTTGACAATACTTAAATAAGATTTTGACATGTGTAACAAGAGAAGATTAGTGCAATGCATAAAGTATTGAACACTTGTAACATAGGTTTAGGAGATGGCGGGAGGAAGGATATTCTTGACTATCAATAGACGTCAAGTTTTATTAGGATGCAACTGGAATCAATTTATAGTTAACAGGGGCGGATCTAGAGGAGGCTTGCAGGGGGAGCGCACTCCCCCCTAAATGATCTGATATTTACCGCATTATTGGTGTTTGAGTTTGTAAGCAAAGGGTACAAAATCCTGGATGGTGCACCCCCCTCTAAAAAAATCCTAGTCTCCCCCACAGCCGCTTTCAGTGTCGTCACGCAACGCTTTCTCCCCTGAAAGCGGCTGTGGGGGAGACTAAAAAAATCCTAGATCCACCCCTGGTTAAGACATCCGTAATTCAAAGTGAATCAAATTTTTATATCAGGTAAACTTAGAAAAGTTGTAGAGAAGCTAAATATAATACTAAAATAAATGAAAATTCAATTAGTTTATTTGAACAAATACGACGAATACTGTTACATGAAACCGTATACTCCATTCTTGATTGATTTTTTCACTCCTTTGTGTTATTGCAAGAGAGCTTGGTGGCGCAGTGGTTCCAGCTCTTACTCCGAAGGCCAGTGATGAAATAAATGTAATATGTTAAAACCTTCTATTGTAGGGACTGYACTGTAAATCCCTCGTGGCACGGATGACCACATTAAATATGCGGACGCTAAAAAAAAAAAAAAAACGACGAGGACTGGCTGGTGTGGGCTACCTGTGGAAAGACTGCATATTTCAAGATGGCCGCCGAAGTAATTGAAAGGGAGATTGAACCTAGTTGTACTTTCTCTTTTTCCAAGCTTCCTGACTTCGTTATCTTAAATATCTTTACTTATCTACCTTTGAAGGATGTGATAGTGGCTTCTTGTGTTTGTAAAAGGTGGAAAGAGATTGCACGTAGTGAAGTAATTTGGAAGAAGTTTATCCCCTTTGCACAATACGTGGAGCTGGTTTGYGAAGGAAAGTCAGCGTTTGAAAAGGTCTCGTACTTGTGGAAAAATAGCCTCAAAGTTGGCGAAGAAAGATGGTATAGCAACCCACTGCCAGAGCTTGTAGAATTTGACAGGAAATTGAGAGATGCGGAGTTGCAACAGTTGATGCTAAACGATAACTCTACAATGACACTGATGATACGTTTGAATCCATGTCACCCCTTCACTACTAAAGGAAAAGAACAACAAGACCCAGACATAGATAAATTATGTGAGATTATATGGCAAATGTTTGGGTTCATGGATGATAATGCATTGGAAATCACTTCGCATAAYGATGTCTTTCAATATTTGAAATATACTTCAAGGAAAGAAGCAATGGAATCTATATTGAGAACTTTGCAACCATATTGGTTTTTAGACCAATTGAAAATTGAACCCTACGAGGTGGGCGAAGATGGAAGGATAGTGAGTGGAGGGGGAAAAAGAGATAAAGAAGAGGATGAGGACGAGGATGATGATGACGATGACGATGAGCATAATGCATGGAAGGAAAAATTAAATGAGCCAGTTAGTCTAGACACCTATGAAAAGGTGAAAGCCATTTTTGCAGATAAAAGTGAAAACTTCATTGAATACTATTTGAGTGATGGGTGCATCAATGAAAATGATCAGTTTGCACATTCTTTGGTTATTAGCRACACTGCAGTGTATCACATACAGCAAATATATGACCTTTAGAGTGGCTCATAGTCAAGCCAAAATAAAAGAGTACAATWGAATAGACCTCTTTTTCTTTTCGAAATGAAACTTCTTTGTTTGAGCTCTATGATCTCATGTACACAGCCATTAAATAAAAGAATGATACTCTGGAAAATGATAGGTAGGCTGAATTGGGGAAAACATTCCCAAGGTATAAATATCATTGGACAACATGTAGTCCTATTACCTATATTAATTATCATACTCGATAATTAAGGATTTAGAACAAAAACTTGGGTCCTTCAGTTTCAACAAAACATTGGGTCTATTTTGAGGCTGGACCTTGATTTGGGGCCTTGTGTACTTTAGTCACTCAAGCAAATTCAAGAACAAACCTCCTGCAAACAAATTTTTGATACTTATCAATGTTAATAATGATGGGAATGTTATTTCAATGATTGAAGTTACAGTAGATTGTAAAAAATATATCTATAAAACAGTGCTAATATATCTTATAATTTATTATTAATTTATAGTGCACAAATATCAATTGAGAGAGATTTTCAAATGCACATTTAGTACTATAGCACTGGTGAAACAATAGAAATTTAACTATTTTGTAATATATAGTGCAAAATAAATTGAATGCTATTTCACAGATTAAGTTAGAGTAGTCAAGTGGGGGAAATAGAAAAAAAAATTGCAGCAAATGGACTCTCCTTAAAAGTATCATGGGTATGAGGTTAACATGGAAATGTAAAAGAAATGCCTTAAATTCCATCAGGAAATAGTGTGATTTCTTTTGTATTACATGTTAGCCTCACACCCACAATACTTTTAGAAGGATGCATTAGGTGTATGCACTTTCCTCTTTGGGTAGMATGTTGGTTTTGTAATTTTCCTTCCTGATTGATACCCAATAAAAGTTGTAAATCTAAATCTAAATATAAGATGGGAAGGGGAATAATATCTAGAAAGCCAGTTTCTTACAATCAAAGTTCTTATCTTTACTAGTGATGTAGTTCCCAGTTTGAAACACCAAGGACTCACTTTATGGACTTTATCTGAGATGTGTGTGCCATTGGTGTCCAAACCTGTAGTCAAACCCCTGGTAAGGCTCTTGAAGCTACTTAGATCTTATTAACCAAGCGGGAGGTCTGTACAGGATAATCTTGGCCGAGGTCGGAATGTACAGACTGAGCGCAGCGAGGTCTGTACCCGACCTCGGTCAAGATAATCCCGTACAGACCGACCAAGCTCAGTTGATAAGAATTTTATTATATGACCACTTTTCATGGAAAAGGACAAAATGTTTTCGCCATAAGATTAATATGCGATCGGACCGGTTAATAGTGGAGAATCTAGACCAGTC